ATCCGCAAAAAGGAAGTCAACATGTTTCGGAACTGGTTATTGCCACCAAAATACATTTGCTATGGTCAACAAACAAATAATTAGGACAATGCAGTTGGCAACAACGCAGAATGTTTTGGTTTTATTTCTGATGACACGTGAAGAAAAAAATGAAAGGCGTGTACAAAATTATGTTGTTGTTTTTGTTTTGTTTGGTCAAGTCTTTAACAGCAATATAAGTCAAGGCCATTTTAAAAAGTCTGCAAAAAGAGATTGGCATCTGTTTCCATTGAAAGGGAAATTATCCATAAAATGCAAGGCGCTTCTTGTGAAGTGTATTACTAGTTACAGTGTAGTCTGTATTCATGCAATTTGTCTGTATGGAAAGAAATAAAAACTGAAATTAAAGAAAATAATTTAGTAATTATGTAGTAAGTGCTTGTGTAAGAGGCCGACCATTCCCAAAAGTATCCATCTCGGTCCCTTTTACAAACTTATACATATACCACAGAGATGTGAAGGGTATAGAAATTGTGTATGAAAACTGCATGCACATCTAAACAAATCTATTTATAGGTTATATATAAGAGTTCAACCAGTATTGATTAACTGACAGTATGGATTAATTGAGATTAATATGGGGGCCATGACTAAATGTGGACCTCATTTATTATTATAACAGATCTACAGAAAATCGTGTTAGACCACCATACTTTGTAGGATATAAGTTTACTATTTCGAACACAGAATATTTCCCATCCTATAGTGGAAAACGGTTATATTAGGACAATGTAGACGAATATAATAGGTAGAGGAATTTGGTAACAAAAAATAGGATTCAAAGATACCAAAGTACATTCCATTGGTTGAAAAACTCATCAAAAATCACCAAAATATCAAATTTTTGGGGGTATGGGAGCTCCCTGAAAAAGTGGATCAGTATTGATATATCTAAATGTGGACTTAATGTGGCATATGGGAGCTACCCGAAAAAGTAAACTGATATTGATAACACTAAGCTACAAGATTTTGTGGGGCAGACAATTCCAATTGGGGATGAAAGACCTTGGAGTATATGAAAAGCGCAGAAGGAATATTTCGCCATATGTCAAAGTTCGGATATATGGCGTGATCATATTATACATGGAAAGATAGCTTCATATTTTAATTTTCAGCTATTGCATGTACTTTTATATCCTCCACCATAAGATGGAGTGTATATTAACTTCGTCATTCTGTGGGCGATAGTTCGAAATATTCACCGGAGACCTGTCTATGCCAATGACATATATCTGGTCCCCCCAATCAGCAACGTAGCCCAGCCCTCAGCTACCATCCCGAAATGGATTTTTTCCACAGAATTTTTTTTTTTCATTTTCCTAGCGGTCACCCTAAATGAAATCCTGTATGCGTTCCTGCCCACAATTTTCGGTCTTTTGGACACGTTTTCAATCAACTTGACTGTGATTTTGTATTTTGGGTTCTTATTGTATAGCACATTTCCACATTGAAAATTTTATATCCTTCACTATGCTGTGGTACAGGGTATTATGGCTTTGTGTATATGTTTTTAACAGGCAAAATGAAACGAGATAGACACATGGTTCCTTTTGAGAATATGCATAGAATCTCTTACTGAGTCCATTTAGACATGTCCGTCTGTCTTTCTGTCCATGTTAAATTATAAACAAACTAAAGGTAGCATTTATGATCCGAATTGCATAAAATTTGGCATAGCTCATTTAATTCGGAGGGCCAAGGACGAACCCTATTGAAATTGGTTCAGATTTAAATATGATTCCCTTTTATATTTTCGTGCGATTTAATGTAAATGGCCCGCCAAAGTCCCCATATATCATTCGATTTGCACGAAATTTGGCACCGCGTACCGAATTAAGTCGGGAATGATGTGTGTTAACTTTCGTGAAAATTGATTCAGATTTAGATATAGATCCCATACATATTTTCGTCCGATTTAATGTAAATGGTGCACCGAAGTCCCTACATATATTTCGATTTGCACGAAATTTGGCGCAACGTAATTAATTAAATCTGAAATGATGTGTGTTAAGTTTCCTGAAAATCGGTTAAGATTTAGATATAGCTCACATAAATATTTTCGTTCGATTTAATGTAAATGGTGCACCAAATTCCCTGCAAATCTTTCTATTTGCACGCATTTTGGCATAGCGTACTGAATTAAAACTTGAATGATGTGTGTAAAGTTTCGTGAAAATCGGTTCTGATTTTAATATAGCTCCCATATATATTTTCCTCCGTTTTTATGTACACCCAAAGTTTGACCGATTGGCACACAATTTTGTAGAATGTGCTGAAGTTTAAATAAATTAGTCTCTGGTGAGTTTCATTGAAATCGGTGCAAATTAGTAAAACTCCTCCCAAACTCCTAATGTCCTATTGACACGAAATGTTGCACAGCGTATCAAATTAAGACTTGAATGACGTTATTGGGTTTTGTTGAAATTGGTGCAGATGCAGATATAGCTTCCATATATATTTCGAACGGGTGTCTGATTGAGATTAAATTTTGAACAGTGCGATACACCGAATAGCGTGTATCAAGTTTGCTTTAAATTGATTTAAGGGGACCCCACCCATTCTCGGCTTTAATTTTTTATTTTGATTTAATTCGAACCTACACTAATTCAAGAATGTCCCCATGAACTTTCAAGTGAAAATCTCAACAAATTTTGAAGATATAGCCGATTTATTGCATTAACATCAAGTGACAGCAAGAGGGCTACCCAAACTTTAAACGCGTTTTTCTCCAAACAGGGTTTTTGCGATAACTCAAAAACTAATAACCCAATCGATTTCAAATTTTGGGACGTTTCTTTGTGATTGTATCCCCGTATGAACTAGGATAGAGCCAATCGGCGAAGATCTTCCTTACCCTTCCCTTAAATAAATTTCTTCCATTGTACGCAAACCACTCTAAATCTGCTTTGCAGAATTGCATAGTTTGCAGAATGGCATATTTATGGATCGATATTAGTCGGTTAACATATAGATAAAGATCACATATTTAAGTCCCATAGCATATTAAGTTCGTCTGCTAGAATACATATGTAGAACATACCCAATGTGGTGAGGGAAATATTTTAGTCGGTCCAGTCCGACTTTACTACTTTCCTTACTGTTTTATGTTTATACCCTTCACCACTCTGTGGTACAGGGTATTATGTCTTTGTGCATATGTTTGTAACAGGCAAAAGGAAACGAGATAAACACATGGTTCCTTTTGAGAATATGCATAGATTCACTTTCTGAGTCGATTTATGCATGTCCGTCCGTCCGTCTGTCGATGTTAAATTGTAAACAAAGTACAGGTCGCATTTATAATCCGAATTGGATGAAATTTGGCATAGGTCACTTTATCGACCCAAGGACGAACCTATTGAAATTGGGAAAAATCGGTTCAGATTTAGATATAGCTCCCATATATATTTTCGACCGATTTAATGTAAACGGTCCCTATATATCTTTCGATTTGCACGAAATTTGGTACAGAGTAATGAATTACGTCTAGAATGATGTGTGCAAAGTTTCGTGAAAATCGGTTCGGATTTGGATATAGCTCTCATATATATTTTCGTCCGATTTAAGGTAATTTGTGTACCAAAGTCCCTATATATCTCTCGACTCGCACGAAATTTGGCACAGCTTAATGAATTAGGTCTAGAATGATGTGTCTTAAGTTTCGTGAAAATCGGTTCAGATTTGGATATAGCTCCCATATATATTTTCGTCCGATTTAATGTAAATGGTCCACCAAAGCCCCTATATATCTTTCGATTTGCACGAAATTTGGCACAGCGTAGTGAATTAGGTCTAGCATGATGTGTGTTAAGTTTCGTGAAAATCGGTTCAGATTTGGATATAGGTCCCATATATATTTTCGTCCGATTTAAGGTAAATGGTGTACCAAAGTCTCTATATATCCTTCGATTTGCACGAAATTTGCCACAGCGTACTGAATTAAGTCTAAAACGATGTTTGTTAAATTTCGTGAAAATCGGTTCAGATTTAGATATAGCTCCCATATGTATTTTCGTCCGATTTTAGGTAAATAGTGCACCAAAGACCCTTTATATCCTTCGATTTGCACGAAATTTGGCATAGCGTACTGAATTGAGTCTAGAATGATGAGTGTCAGGAAAATCGGTTTAGATTCCGACATATCTCCCATATATATTTTAGTCCGATTTTATGTAAATGGTGCACCAAGGTTCCTATATATATCCTACGATTTGCACAAAATTTGACATAGCGTACTGAATTAAGTCTAGAGAGATGTGTGTTAATTTTCATGAAAATCGGTTCAGATTAAGAAATATTTTTAACAACGCGGCGTATGGAATACCATGTATCAATTTTGCTATAAATCGTTTTCCATAAATTTTTCCCATGTTACACAGGCTAGGTTAGGATAGGTTGGAGAAAGAGGGAACATAGACATGCAATTGTTAGGATACATATGTACAATATACCCAAAGTGGTGAAGGGTATCATATAGTCGGCCCAGTCCGACTTTACTACTTTCCTTACTGGTTTTATATATGATCTTGTGATTTGCTCATGTTGGCTATTTGTCTGATATTGCGATTCATTGTAAACTGAATTTCTTCCTCTTGTTGTAAGATAAATGTCCTTTTTGTATTAATTTGTCTTTGAATACCGAAATAGCACCTCCTATTGGAAAGCCTTATAATATAACTACCGAACATACACATCATTTGACTCGGTACTCATCATCAAAAAGTATATTCCAAACTAATTACCTGTGCTTTGATACTAAAGGGGAGCAAAACATCTTCCGCCAAATCGTTAAATATCCAATCCGATATAACCCACATTTCGAATTAGTTTTTATATTATTGTTTATATTTTTTATAAAATTTTTTAAATCGTTTATTTTTATTTTATTTATTTATTTATTTATTTTTTTTTGTATTTTCTACCTTAACATAATGTTATTATCGTCTAACTTGTTGCTAAATCTAATAAATATAGCCTCCATTGGAACCGTATTGAGTATCAATACCGCTGGAAGCACTTGCACTCACGCTGGCACCTTTGTGTCCCACCGAGGTGTGGTAGGCAGCTTGTTGTTGAGTGAAATAACCAGAACCGGGAACAACTTGAGCTTGGGCAACTTTTTGTTTTTGGCTGATGGTGGAAGCACCTACACTCACGCTGGCACCTTTGTGTCCCACAGAGGTGTGGTAGGCAGCTTGTTGTTGAGTGAAATAATCAGAACCGGGAACAACTTGAGCTTGGGCAACTTCTTGTTTTTTGCTGATTGTTGTGTAGTAAGCAGCTTGTTGTTGGGTGAAATCATCAGAACCGGGAACAACGGGAGCAACTGGTTCAGGAATAACAGCGGTTTCTTGTTTTTGGCTGATGGTGGTGTAATAAGCAGCTTGTTGTTGGGTGAACTCATCGGAACCGGGAGCAACTGGTTCAGGAATAACAGCGGCTTCTTCTTGTTGATGTTCCGATTCGTGAACAGCTTCATTTACAATAGCACCTGTATAGTATTGTTGTTGTTCAACTTCGGGTTCTTGTTGGACTTCTTCGGCAACACTGTTGGAGGTAACTTCTTCCTGTTCGGGTTTGTAGACCAAACCGGTGTAATATTGTTGTTCGGCTTCCTGTTGGTGGGTTTCTTCTTCAACAGGGGTGACTGTTACATGTTCGGGTTTGTAGACCAAACCGGTGTAATATTGTTGTTGGGGTTCTTCTTGGTGAGTTTCTTCAACGACAGTGGTGGAGGTGGCTTCTTCCTGTTCGGGTTTGTATACCAAACCGGTGTAATACTGTTGTTGGGGTTCTTCTTGGTGAGTTTCTTCAACGACAGTTGTGGAGGTGGCTTCTTCCTGTTCGGGTTTGTAGACCAAACCGGTATAGTATTGTTGGTGATGTTCCTGTTGTTCAGGTACTTTAACTTCGTTGTGTACAGAGACTGAAACTTGCTTCACTTTTTGAACTTGAATTGGTTTATTGACATATTTGGTTTCAGTGACATGGTGAACTGTGGTGAGTTTAGGGATTTCCTGACTTTGTTCAGCATATTCAACATGTTTGTGGGCCAAAGCAGCCATATGAGGTGGCAGGTATTCGTTATTCAAATGGCTGACATCGGCGGCAGCAACACCCAAAAGGGCCAAGGCAACAATAGCGAATTTCTGAAAATAAAAGAAATTTAATTGTTAGAATATTTTTAAAAGATAGATGCACTTAGGTATGGCATTGATATTTTGTTCGTTAATAAAAAATTTTAAAAATAACACAGACTCGAAAAATTTGAAATATTTAATGCTTTTGTTTAGTTCCACTTCGATATAAGAATTTTGTCATAATCCTTCACGATTTCAAATTTTTACACGAAATAGCTTACCATATTTCCAAGATGTTTCAGATGCTTATCCCAAGACTATTAATCCCGTACTGGCATTGTTGATGTCACCAGACTTAAGTATTTATATACCATTCTGGACAGAACAGAAACTTCAACAGAGAGAATCAGAATCAAACCGTAACATAAACTAAGCATTAAATCATACACGGAATTAGCATTAGAATTCAGCTGCGGCATCCATACAAGCAGCATCTCCATATCGAAATAAATAAACAAACAGCAGCTTTTTGTAAAATCAAACCAAAAAAACAGAAATCGGTAGCCAAAATAAAAAATAACTAAAAATAAAACCAGAAAATAAATATTTATATCGATATTAATTAAGAATATTAGCCGAAAGCCTATTCTATTCGAAGATTTAGAACTCATTAATGAAACTTCATTTGTTTTTTTCTCGCTGACAGCATAAACTCTGTGATGTTACCAAAATGCCACCAAACACCCGTGGCGTGGTTAGACTAGTTTCTTTTAGCAGCATTAGAATTGAGTTCATTGACTGTGTGTGTGATTTGGATTAATTTTATGATACCCTATAGTAAAACCTATTTTTTCATTTACTAGCGATTCAAAAAATTTCTTTATTAGCACTCATAATTTGATTTTCAAAATATTGACTTCCTGCTAAATAATATTGAAAATATTTCAATTAAGCCTTTTTTCATCAGACTTTAATTAGAAATCGTAGTATCTTTAATTTTATAACCACCACCATAGTAACTCATCGAAAAAATCATTTCCGACCTCCAAATGAATTGACATAGATCGCCAAAAATTAGCACAGAGTTGCATTTTGTCTGCAGACAGGTCAAGTTCGAAGATGAGCTATATCGGCCCCAAATATAAGGGTACCCCAAATTTTCGAAATTTTGGGGTTCTTGAGTGCGCTTTTCAGACGAATTCAGTGAAATTTTGTACAATATGGTCTTATTGGCTACCACTACCACTAAAAATTATAAACATTTGTAGCCCCCATATAACGATACCCACTATGTTTTGGGTTCTTGAGCGCAATTTTCAACCAAATGCACTGAAATTTGGCACATTGAATTCCTATTAGGCACCAAATTTCCGCTCTTTAAATATAGGTCCACTTTTTGGGATAGCACCCATATAACGGAACCCCCAAATTGTCAATATTTTCAAACATTTGGGGGCTGTAATTTTGTGTTTGTTAACTAATATACCTCCCTAAATTAATTTGTATTCGTCCCTTTTTTTTTTTTTGGGGGGGAGGGGGTGGGGGTGTGTGTGTGTTAGCCCCATATATGCATACAAAAGAATAATAGAGTTGGGCAATCTAGTTCACTTAGCGGATCGATCTTTCTCGTTCCTTTTTTAAAAAGTACTAGTTCCTTAATGGAGTTCCTTTGCTCCATACAGTTCCGACTCCTACATGGTTCCTTTGAATCTCTCTCTTTCATCGTTCTTTGTTTCGTTTTTTTCATATAGTCCCTTTGAACCATAGAGTACATTTGCTCCATATAGTTTCTTTACTCCATACAGTTCCTGTGCTCCATATAGTTCCGACTCCTACATAGCTCCTTTGAATCTCTCTTTTTCATCGTTCTTTTTTCGTTTTTTTGTTCATATATAGTTCCTTTGCTCCATATGTTCCTTTGATCCATAATTCCTTTGCTCCATATAGGTCCGACTCCTACATAGTTCCTTTGAATCTCTCTCTTTCACCGTTCTTCTTCTTTTTTTCGCTCACATAGTTCCGTGTTGATTTGTTAATAAATAAAAAAATTGAAAATTGTGCAAAAATGAAAAAAAAAATGAAATGAAGCTACAGAATTGAACTGCAGGACGATACGAACAAAATACTTTTTTTATAAATAAATAAAAATATTTAAAACAAAAAAAAACAGTAAATAAAACAGTAAAGTCGGACTGAGCCGACTATATGATACCCTTCACCACTTTGGGTATATTGTACATATGTATCCCCTCCAAGAAACATACGCAAGTCTTTCTGCAACCTATGAGAAATTTAATTTCATTCGGGCAGATTTAAAGTCGACTTCGTACCATGGGAAAAATTTATAAAAAACGACTTATAGCAAAATTAATACACTCTATTCGGTCGCCGCACTGTAAAAATTTTAATTTCATTCAGCCATCCATTCGAAATACATATGGAAGCTATGACAGCATGTACATCAATTTCAATAAAACGCAATAAAGTTATTCAAGACTCAACTTGATACGTGCTAATCGGACAAACATTAGAAGGTTGGTGCACCATTAATGTAAAATCGGACGAATATATATGTATATGTGGGAGCTATATCGAAACCAGAACCGATTTTTCCGAAACTTAGCACACATCATTCTAGACTTAATTCAGTACGCTTTGCCAAATTTCATGCAAATCGAAAGGTATATAGGAACTTTGGTGCACCATTTACATAGAATTGAAAAAAAACTATATATGACTATATCTAAATCTGAACCCATTTTCTCGAAACTTGGCACACATCATTCTGCACCTAATTCAGCACTCTGTGCCAAATTTCATGCAAATCGAATGATATTTAGGGACTTTGGTGCTTCATTTACTATAAATCTAACGAAACTATATATGGGAGCTATATCGAAATCTGAACAGATTTTCTCGAAACTTGGCACACATCGTTTTGCACCTAATTCAGTACTCTATGCCAAATTTCATGTAAATCGAAGGATATAGAGGCACTTTGGTGCCCCATTTACCTTAAATCGGACGAACCTATATATGGGAGCTATATCTAAATCTGAACCGATTTTCTCGAAACTTGGCACACATCGTTCTGCACCTAATTCAGTACTCTATGCCAAATTTCATGCAAATCGTACCACAGTCCTTGGGACTGTGGTGCACCATTTACATTAAATCAGACGAAACTATATATGGGAGCTATATCTAAATCTGAACCGATTTTCTCAAAACTTGGCATACATCATTCTGGACCTAATTCAGAACTCTATGAAAAATTTCGTGCAAATCGTATGATATATAGGGACTTTGGTGCACCATTTACCTAAAATCGGACGAAACTATATATGGGAGCTATATCTAAATATGAACCGATTTTCTCGCAACTTGGCACACATTGTTCTGCACTTAATTCTGTACTCTGTGCCAAATTCCATGCAAATCGAAGGATATAGAGGGACTTTGGTGCCCCATTTACCTTAAATCGGACGAACCTATATATGGGAGCTATATCTAAATCTGAACCGATTTTTCCCAATAGGGTTCGTCCTTGGGCCAAATATGTGACTTGTGCCAAATTTCATCCAAATCGGATCATAAATGCGACCTGTACTTTGTTTACAATTTAACATCTACAGACGGACGGGCGGACATGCATAAAACGACTGAGAAAGTGATTCTATGCATATTCTCAAAAGGAACCATGTGTCTATCTCGTTTCCTTTTGCCTATTACAAACATATGCACAAAGACCACAGACCCTGTACCACAGTGTGGTGAAGGGTATAATAAAATTTAACTATTTATACAATTTGAAATACGAACGAATGGAGAATATGGGAATAAAGGAACGATGTCAGAAAAAACGAAAAAAGGAAAAGAAAAAATAACGAGATCAAAAAGGAACGAGATCAGAAAAAGGAACTATATTAATTAAAGAGCTGGAACTAGTTCCGATCGTTCCCTTCTCGAAATAGTTCCAATGAACTAGTTCGTTCCGGAACTACCCAACTGTAGAGAATATTCACATTTTCAGCGTCGATTTATGCATGTCCGCCTGTTGGTGGTAAATTATAATCATAATATACGTCGCATTTATGATCCGATTTGGATGAAATTTGGTACAGCTCATTTACTTGACACAAGGATGAGCTCTATTGAAATTGGTGAACATCTTTTCAGATTTAGATATAGCTCCAATTTTATGTAAATGATGCATCAAAGTCCTTATATATCTTTAGGTTTGCCCAAAACTTGGTATAGCGTACTGAATTGAACCTAAAATGATGTGTGCTAAGTTTCGTTGAAATAGGTTCTGATTTAGATGCATCCCCCATATATATTTTCATCCGGTTTAATGTAAATGCTCCACCAAAGTCCCTATATTTCTTTCGATTTGCATAAAATTTTGAATATCACACTGAATTAAGTCTAGACTGATGTGTGGTAAGTTTCGTGAAAATCGGTTAAGATTAAGATATAGCTCCCATATATTTTCGACCGATTTTAAGTAAATGGTGCACTAAAGACCCAAAGCTAGCCAGATTGACACAACGTTTTGCAAAACGTACTGAAGTTAATATAAATCTCTGGCAAGTTTCGTTGACATCGGTTCTGATTCCATGTTAGGATACATATGTAGAGCATAGGCAGTCTGACTATACTACTTTCCTCTCCGCCTTCTTTTAAAATAGTTAACTGATTTGTTACTTGTTTTGGAGTTGTCTACATACAGCCGTATCCCACCATAATATGTAGGATATTCTGTACTCGAAATTGGACGATTTAGTGGATTTAGCCATCTGTTGCCTAGTCCCTATACAAAAATACCTACCTATTTCATATTTAGGATGAAGGAAGGTATTGTGAGGCAAAATAAAAATGTCATGTTCGAAATTGAGTTAAATCGGTCCTCAATTAGGCATAGCCCATCGTATAATTATAACACCAAATGTTCGATGCTTTCTATCCCATATCTAACGTTGATCGATAAATTGCATTATTGGACCACAATTGCGGGTTTTGAGATTTTAGGGAAAATCCCCATTAAACATTGTTGTATTACAACATTT